ACACACACACACACACACATATATATATATATATATATACACACACACATAAATATATATATTTATATATACACACACACATACATATACACACGACAACCACACACACACACACATATATATACAGTGTATATATATATACATACATATACATAATATAAAAATATCTAGCTACAGAATTAGCTACTTTAACCAAAAGAAAAAAAAACAAAAAAAAAAACAAGAAGCTTGCATAACATATACACTCACCTAAAGGATTATTAGGAACACCATACTAATACGGTGTTTGACCCCCTTTCGCCTTCAGAACTGCCTTAATTCTATGTGGCATTGATTCAACAAGGTGCTGAAAGCATTCTTTAGAAATGTTGGTAGGATAGCATCTTGCAGTTGATGGAGATTTGTGGGATGCACATCCAGGGCATGAAGCTCCCGTTCCACCACATCCCAAAGATGCTCTATTGGGTTGAGATCTGGTGACTGTGGGGGCCATTGTAGTACAGTGAACTCACTGTCATGTTCAAGAAACCAATTTGAAATGATTCGAGCTTTGTGACATGGTGCATTATCCTGCTGGAAGTAGCCATCAGAGGATGGGTACATGGTGGTCATAAAGGGATGGACATGGTCAGAAACAATGCTCAGGTAGGCCGTGGCATTTAAACGATGCCCAATTGGCACTAAGGGGCCTAAAGTGTGCCAAGAAAACATCCCCCACACCATTACACCACCACCACCAGCCTGCACAGTGGTAACAAGGCATGATGGATCCATGTTCTCATTCTGTTTACGCCAAATTCTGACTCTACCATTTGAATGTCTCAACAGAAATCGAGACTCATCAGACCAGGCAACATTTTTCCAGTCTTCAACTGTCCAATTTTGGTGAGCTCGTGCAAATTGTAGCCTCTTTTTCCTATTTGTAGAGGAGATGAGTGGTACCCGGTGGGGTCTTCTGCTGTTGTAGCCCATCCGCCTCAAGGTTGTGCGTGTTGTGGCTTCACAAATGCTTTCCTGCATACCTCGGTTGTAACGAGTGGTTATTTCAGTCAAAGTTGCTCTTCTATCAGCTTGAATCAGTCGGCCCATTCTCCTCTGACCTCTAGCATCAACAAGGCATTTTCGCCCACAGGACTGCCGCATACTGGATGTTTTTCCCTTTGCACACCATTCTTTGTAAACCCTAGAAATGGTTGTGTGTGAAAATCCCAGTAACTCAGCAGACTGTGAAATACTCAGACCGGCCCGTCTGGCACCAACAACCATGCCACGCTCAAAATTGCTTAAATCACCTTTCTTTCCCATTCTGACATTCAGTTTGGAGTTCAGGAGATTGTCTTGACCAGGACCACACCCCTAAATGCATTGAATCAACTGCCATGTGATTGGTTGATTAGATAATTGCATTAATGAGAAATTGAACAGGTGTTCCTAATAATCCTTTAGGTGAGTGCATATTCATCTTTTAAGGAAATTGCTAAACTTCATAAGTCATTTTCACCATCGTGGGAAAAACCTGAAATTAAAATAAATTTCAATATTAAAACTAAAAACATGCTGTCAAGTTCATCAACACTCGTAAAAAAACATGCAGCACAGAACAAAAAAAATGCACAAGAGGGAAGGTTGCTTGGCAACAGCGAATGTGTGCAAACTAGATTTCATGCTGTCAGAAACAACACCCCAGACAGCCTGGTCATTTGGTCCGGCTATGTAAGTCGTACTTGTCCTACACTCACCAACTTGTACAATTTCTAGAAGTACAGGATGGATTACCTGGAAATGTATAAGTTAATAAATGTGAATGCTGTGTGTCCTTGTCATGATATGTTGGTCTGAAAATATACTTATTCATTTATTGTACATTGCACTGAGACTATATGGACAAAAGTATTGGGACACCTGGCCATTACACCTACAGGAACTTTTATGACATCCCATTCTAAATCCATAGGCATCAATATGGAGTTGGTCTCATCTTTGCAGCTATAACAGATGCCACTCTTCTGGGAAGAATTTCTACAAGTTTATGCAGTGTGTCTGTGCCCATTCAACCAGAAGAACATTTGTGAGGTCAGGCACTGATGTTGGACATGAAGACCTGGCTTGCAATCTCTGTTCTAGTTCATCCCAAAGGTGTTTGATGGGGTTGAGGTCAGGGCTCTGTGCAGGCCAGTCAAGTTCTTCCACATCAAACTCACCCAACCATGTCTTTTTGGACCTAACTTTGTGCACTGGGGCATAGTCATGCTGGAACAGAAAAGGTTCTTCCCCAAACTGTTCCCACAAAGTTGGAAGCACAGATTTGGCCAAAATGTCTTGATATGCTGAAGCATTAAGAGTTCCCTTCACTGGAACTAAGGGGCCAAGCCCAACCCCTGAAGAACAGCCCCACACCATTATCCCTCCTCCACCAAACTTCACTGTCTGCACAATGCAGTCAGACAGGTGACATTCTCCTGGCAACTGCCAAACCCATACTCATCCATCAGACTGCCAGACAGAGAAGCCTGATTCATCACTCCACAGAAGACATTTCCACTGCTCCAGAGTCCAGTGTCAGTGTGCTTTGTACCACTCCATCTGACACTTGGCATTGCACTTGGTGATCTGAGCCTTGCATGCAGCTGCTCGGCCATGGAAGCCCATTCCATGAAGCTCTCAGTACACAGTTTTTGTGTTGGGGTTAATGCCAGAGGAAGTCTGGAACTCTGCAGTCACTCAGTAAACAGAGCGTTGGCGACTTTTATGCACTATGCACCTCATCACACGGCCACCCCACTCTGTTACTTCACGTGCTCTGACACTTTGGGGCTGAGTTTCTGTTGTTCCTAAACGCTTCCATTTTGCAATAATTACAGCCGACTGTGGAATATCTAACAGGAACGGAATTTCACAAGCTGACTCATTGCAAAGGTGGCTTCCTATGACAGTACCATACTTGAATTCACTGAGCTCTTCAGAACGACCCATTCTTTCACAAATGTTTATAAACATGACTGCATAGCAACATGCTTGATTTTATGCACCTGTGGCAGTGGGTCTGAATGAAACACGTGAATTAAGTGATTAAGAGGTATGTCCCAATATTTTTATTCATATAGAGTATATGACAATTTACAGAATCTTTCCACACTAATTAGGTGGTTACTTGTATTCCTTTCTAAATGTTTTAACGTCCAGATTTGAAGATGTAATTTATATTATTTACACTTTATATATGTTTAAACATTTATATTTTATTTCTCATTTGCACTACGACCATTTTTTGTGACAAAGTAAGAACTGTAACAGATACACTAATGGTAGAGTGGATATTGGTAAACTCGGATAATTTTACACTTATAATTTTGATACTTTAAATTATACTTTCTCTCTCACTCTAAAAATCACTACAGCACTGCTTCAGTTTTGGGATGATCCATCTCAGAATTTGATCACTTCCAGTTTGTCACCCCTACAATGTGCCTGCAATGCTTGAAAAACACAACCCAATTCTTTTAGTTACTGTGTTCACAAGACCATGTATTCTATACAGTAGCTGACGTTTCATTTTTGTGACAAATTTTCTGAAAATAAAATCAGGTGTAGACCTGAAGCAGTAATAAGATCAATAAAATAGTTTTTGACTTATCACATTTTCAAGGTCAAATATTGTCTGCTTTCACCCTTCCCTTTGTTACCTCTAAATGGCATCACTTCACTTTTCGGTCAATCTGTCTCAAAAGCTAATCAGTTCCAGTTTGGCATCATACAATGCTACTGCATAGTTTAAAAAGATCCATCAAAACTTCGGGTTGTCATCGTAAGAGCATCAAGTGTCAAAACTGCTCTTTTTTGCTATCACTATGCAGTGCTGTTTCAATTTTTGGGCAATCTCAAAATTCCTTACCCATACAATGCATGTGGAAGTTTTGAAAAACAGCCATCAAATGGTTCCCGAGTTACTAGCCCGCATGCCACATGCCACAGGCCGGGAGAGTACAGCTGTTAAGTGAATGGGTGGCTTGGAGCCGCTCTTCATGCTTCTATGGTATTAGTGATGCATTTTATCATTAGTCACATCATTATCACACAATCTCGTTTGTTTTTGTGTTAATGAGTCTAATAAGTATGCAGTATTCTCCCTGTCTCACCCACCCTTTCAAAAAAATAAACAAATAAACCTAACATTTATTTTAATTCCTGGAAAAGCGTAACTACTCATCACACATGTAGATATTTCATGGTTACCTGGGGAGTTCTGATTTTTTGTATCTAAATACTCTTAATAGCAGTAAACGGGAAACTAAAATGTTGACAATTGATCACATTCATTTGTTTGGTAATCTATTTTTATCCTAAGTATTCTGTTTCATTAAGTAATCTTTGAGTTTCAAAGTAAATCAAATAAGACTCAAGATCATCGTGCTGTTGATAATTTCACCATTTGATGCTTTACACTTCATATTATCACTTAAACTATATTTTTCCTGAGGGATCTAGTGAGTCAGCTTACAGAAACAAAGTGGCTAATGTTTCAATGTATGACTAAGTATGTTTACAGCAATGTTTCCTCAGTGTTTATGACAGATATGCGGATTATGAGTGTAAGAAAAGCAAGAGAAGTTAGAAAAACAATGGGATCATGTGTGGAAAATATTCATCAGACATACATGACATGTTGGTGACTGAGAGAAGTTCACTGAGACAAGTCGTGAAAAATTTATTTCCATCTCCAAGGCATAGAAACTTTAAAACTACAGAAGTTTTTTTTATTATTATTATTGTTAGTCTACCATTACGTGACAACTGAGAATTGTGGCTTGACAATTTACAGGACCAAAGGGATCTTGCATGATTTCTGTCCTGGAGAATGACGACACGCCCGAGGGCCAGGGTCTTGTTTGTGACGTGCGTTCTGTCCGTGTATGAGATTCGGCTACGGAGCGTTCTGTCCGTGTATGAGATTCGGCTACGGAGCGTTCTGTCCGTGTATGAGATTCGGCTATGGAGCCTACCTGACGCTGGATTACAGCCAGGCTATCCCAGGCCCGGTTTAGCAGGATCTCCAGGGTCTTAGGGTCGTCCACGTTCTTGTTCTCCCTGAAGGCGTCCCTCACCCTCCGCAAGGCGTATGTTCTGAGGGCACAAAACAAAACTGTGTTCCCCTGCCATTTTGGAGAAAAGGAACTGAGCACTTTGGCGATTTTTTCATCATCCAAGTTAAATTATACGCATTTAAAACTAAGGAACAATGTTAACAAATTGGTTATAATAAACATGACATAACTGAAGATATATTTATAGTCCAGTGATTTTATAATCCAGGGGTGGGCAATTTTATCCAGGAAGGGCCATTGTGTATCTGGGTTTTTGCTGCAACTCCTAATTAGATTACTCATCTGAGGACTGATTGGCTGAAGAGTCACACCTGGGTGTGAGCACCTGACCTAAAGGTTATTCAAAAACATGTTTATACACTGGCCCAGTGACTGGGATGAGATTGCCCATCTCTGTAATAACTGCAGAACAAACTTCGCTGCCGATTAGAGAACCATCTGGCTGAAGGAGGGACCAGAGAGCACTTGTTCCCTGTCAGCACCCAGACCACTTTCAATCCCCAATACACCATTCCATAAGATGCCATTTTACGGAATGCCAAAAGTGTGAATACGATGTGTTTTTTTTTTTCACGTTAACAAGCTCAAAATTGACATGTTGACGCAAACATTTTGTTCGCATTAACGTGTGATAACGTGTTAACACATACAAAACATGCATGTGTCAATTCTGAGCTTGTTAACGTGAAAAAAGCGAACATGTTTTAACCGTTTTGATACAGGAAGTCCCATGTTTCTGTACAAAAGAGATACTGGACTTCCCAGAGGCTACATCAGACCCCACGTGATGCTTATTCACTAGTCAGTTAGTTTAGACTTTAGACTTATTTTTAGTTGGTTAGTTTAGAAAAGTGTGGTCATATTGACTTGTATGTACAAATTAATTTATAGAATATTAAGCCAGAATGTTAGTCATCAAACAAAAATGATGCAATTATACGGACCCCGTTAGACCGGAGACATACAAGGTCACGAAAGACACCTGTCCTCTTCCAACTACATCAATTTTGAAAGAATCTAGAGCCATGGGGGACATTACAGAAGGAGACTGTATTTATGCTGAACTGGGTCAAAAGTGCAGAAATCAGTGTTCAGTTCAGTCAAAAGTCAGACTTAATTTACTGCATCAAACACCGTAACCACAATAATCTCAAGCAGGGAATTTTCTGCTGTTGACATGTCACAGATTAGATGTATAATATACAAGCAGTATGTCGTATGCCCACAAATGAACACATGCAGAGAGAATGAAGCTCACTTACTGACCAGCTAAGCGTAAGAATGGCTAAGATGGCTGATGTAAGTGGTTTTGATTGTGGTGCGATTCTTCGTGTCAGACACAGCGGGTCCAGCATCTCAGAAAGTGGCAGTGTTTAAAGTTTACAGAGAATGGTATGATGAAGAGAAGCATCCAGTCAAGGGCAGCTCTGTGGCTGAAAACACCTTAGTGAGGGAGTTCAGAGAATGACTGAACTTTTCAGTTTAGGCTCAGCACAGCAGGCTTCTCTCAATGCACTATTCATCTGCCCTTGAAGCATTTCTGGTGGCAAATGTGGGCCCTACCCAGCACTATGTGACACACGCCATGTGAAGGAGGTGGGGGGGGGAGCCATCTCCAGGAGGTGAAGATGACTAACGAGTATTAATCACTCACCACCCCTCAAGCTGCCGGCACTTGCTAAGTGGCACATTATAATGCGGCGCGATGGTTAATTAATCCCCGACTATTTGGAGGCAGGATAACTCTTGTACATTCTTCTGCACTTACGTTTTAACCCATTTACTAAGCACTTATCCTGGTTTGGGTCAAGGGGGAACCTGGAACCTATCCCAAGCTGCACAGAGCACAAGGCAAAGGTCCATGATGGATGGGATGCCAACCAACCACAGGGCACATGCATGGGGACGGTCACCACAGTACAATATTTCAAATTGCTATTAACTTTTGACATACAGCCCAGTCCTATCATTCTGTCCAAAGAATCTAATTGTGTATCTACACAGCTTTAAATAATCATGATGATTATTTGATATTTGCAGGATTACAGGTACTTAGGAATTCTTTGCTTTTGCCATCTTGCTCTCCGATGAGCCACACGTACAGAGGTGAGAGGGCCAGGGTGCAGGCTCAGCCATTCATCTCGGCCAATTTACATAGGCTAAGGATTGTGGCCCTTCTAGGACCACCTATTAATTATGTCATCAGTGACATAGGGCTGGGCGATGTCATATCGATATTCCATCGCGCATGTGCAATAATCACCTGGGCTTCAGATGACAGGCGCAACATTTGGCCATGCGCCAGCTTTTCGGTGCTATACGGACATTTATTTACGCCCACAATTTAAGCAGTTTAGTAGTATGGCTAAAATATTAATGAGGCTTTGTATGACGTCCAAAAGTCATTATTAGTATAAATACGGCAAATCCTTATGTTTAATAAATGTGTCAGACTTTGAACTGCAAAAAGTACCACCACAGCGCCGACGTCTTTTTACCTTGTTTATCCACAAGATCTCCTCTTTTAAAAGATGTCGTGGCTGCTCTTCTTCACTGTGACTTCAGTGCATATTGCACTGAGGTATACAAACCGTAGTATACAAACCGTAGTGTACCAAACCGTAGTATAGCAAAACAGTATTATGTGGGGTGCTCCGCTAATCGAATTTAAGAAACATAAAGTTTATACAGATCACTAACTTTTGGGTATCACAAAACGCATATCATTAATATTTAAGCCATTCTACTAATCCTCTTACCAAATTACGGACGTAAATTAATGTCTGTATTTCACCGAAAAGCTGGTGTCCGGCCAAATGCTTTGTCTGTCATCTGAAGCCCTGGTGATTATTGTGCATGCGCGATATAATATCGATATGATATCACCCAGCCCTACAGTGACATCAGCGACCAAGAACGTTCCAGCTATACTGCAGGGTCTCAATGCGGCTATAAGCAGTTAGAGAAGATAGATGACTGGACGGATGTATTAACCAGACCATGTGTTTGTGTGTGTGTATATATATATATATATATATATATATATATATATATATATATATATATATATATATATATATATATTATATAGTAATTGTTTGTTGACGGCCTGTTGGGTTGTTTAAGACTCAGAGCACAGCAGATCCATTCTATAATTGGAAGCTACACAGGATGGGATGCGTTTTAACAGAGCGCCCGCCTCCATGGAAACCCGTCCTTGTTAATTCTGCTAAAACGCTGCCCTACTTTTGCCTGCCAGTCTGTTCCCATAAAGATGGTGCGTTTGTGTCAGTAGTGTATCACAAATTAATCCACCTCCCCCCAACCAATATCACTGCAAGTCCTTCCCTACAAGCCGAGTTCACCCACTGCCTCTTCACTGTTCCCCCCTCTAATAAACCCTAATATCTTCGCTTCACCCACCGGCTGCTCCTGGACATTGAGTAACGGGTGGGTGCCATTTTCCTATCATTTTCAGCAATTTTGGGTCGTGATGGAGGAAAATGATTTTAGTTTTTAGTGCATCAATAATTAAAAGGAGGCTAGGAGCGCTGGCGGAACATTCCGGAACACACTAACGTCACATGCACAAAGAGCTCTGATCGCGACCTTGGTTGACCTTGATCGAAAAAAGAAAATGCTGCAAGCCAGCAGCCAATCATCTGAGGGGTACAGAGGAAGCTCCTGACAAGGCTGCAATGACACATCTGATCAATAATTCAAAATCCGGCAGCAAAAAGACGGAATCACATTTTTTCCAGACCTGCACTGTCAGTCTATTTTAAAACAGAACTAAACATTTAATGCCCGTGACATAAAAATCACAAAGAAGCTAAATGGAGAAACAATGATGGAGGAAAACTTCAAGGATACTATTTGAACTGTGATTTACTTTGTAATTTAATTCTTACACGTTTCCTGAAATCTTTCTTATGGATCAGCAACAAATTGCCACATTATCACACCAGGCATATTATATGTAAATATATGAATAAATATCACAGCATTATGCTCTTTGCAGAGACCACAGCTGGCACTCGCACACTGGGAACATTTGGAATTGAATATTTCTGCATTATCTGCAGTTTCCCAAGTTGAAAAGTCTCTGCAGCATAAGTGATACGATACTTCATTTTACAGATCAAAGTCCCTGAACACTGCCACTAATAAAGAAGACATAAAATGCCAGGTATCAGATACAAAATTATCAAATTCCTTTTTAATACATAGATTTGGCTTATTGCTGTTGTAATGAAAGCATCAAGGCAATTAAAAGTAAAATGGAACCTTGTGGATTCCATATCCAACAAGTTGGCTTTGATAAGAAAAACAGTGTATGTACGTATGTATGCATCTATCTATCCATCCATCCATCCAATTTGGATATTGCTAAACAAATCCATCATATCAGTTCATTCATAAAACTGAATTATGACCTCAGGCCCATGGTTAAATTCACAACTATGTATTAATTAGATTTTTGTTCAAAACAATCTTTGGGACCTTTGTGAACAAACAATGGACCGATGTATAAAAAATGTCAAGAGGCATTTCTAAAACCCAGAACACCACTTTTCTGGTAGTACACGTTTCATTACGCGTTGACAAAAAATGCGACACCTTCAAATCATATGCAGCAGAAGTCTAGAGCACTGGAAACTCAAACAAGTCACATTCTCTGAGGACCAGCGCCAAGACCCTGGAGATTTATGATGGAGGCAGGGAGCGCAGATTTTCAAATGGAAAAAGCAGTTCAGCCAAAATGACATCCATCCATTCTTCAACTGCCTATACTGAGCAAAGTGATGGGAGAGCCTGGAACCTATCCCAGGCAGCATACGGGACAAGGCAGGGGTACACCCGGGACTGGATGCCAGTGCCAAAATGACTTGATTTAATAAATATGTGCAAATATTTGAAAGTAATTATAGCATTATGTTTGGTTGGGAAGAAAAAGAGACGAAGTATCATCCTGCCTCGGTATTCCGCTACCTCATGCTTTTCGCTTCCAGGATTGGCTCCAGACAATGCACTGGATAGCCAGGTCTGCAAAATGATTTTCACCGACAACAGTATGTATCACAATTACCGCACAGCTCCTGTAGCTCCAACACTAACAACAATGGTTGTGGGTTCACATCCCAGGAAGCACACATAAATTGTGGTTCATTCAGATAAATGAATAAAATGTCGAATCAACATATTAAGAAAGAACGTTTTTTGTCAATTTTATCAGGGCACATATACCACCCGCTAATTCATCATTATTCTTATCTTTAGATATTTATTTCTGTAACGCTACAGTATACTGTTTGTGTACTTGTTAAATTTGTCTGCACTATTTGTACCGTCTTTGCACTTTGTCTGTTTTGCACCATAGGTAGCTTCATCTGTGCACTACATCTACACTTGTGTATGCACCACAATTTCCCCCAGGATCAATAAAGTCCATCTTAATCTTAATATACTACTGTCACATGCTGGAAGACCATGGATACATGTTTTGTTGTTTTGGAAAATGTGAACTACACAGGATAATGTTTTTAGTGTATTGTTCCTTGATGGTGGAACAAGCTCCCCAAATGCAACTTTTCAGAATCCATATAAATCAGAATCCATATAAATCAAGAAACATTCTAAGACCCATTGCAATTTCGCAATACCTCAGCTGAACTCATCCTACCACTGACGCTCCCTGGCTCCAAGTTGTCGACTGTGCCATTGAAATGGTTGGACTTTGCACTACTGGATGCTGTGCTGGGTTTGTCTCTTGGGGTTATTTATATGTAGAACTTTTCTGATGTTAGGTTCCAAACTGCACTTGTGACTGATCCCTCACTGGAAGTGCAGTTAGACCTTGTAAGTAATTTGGCTCCTGGGCACCTGCACGCTTGTGATGCATTATCTACCTCACTCGTACACAAAGCATCTGCTAGTTAAAGATTCCATTCTCACTCATACTGTTGGTTCCAAAATAATAGTATCTACTTTTGCACAAGCAATAAGGAAGGAAATTGGTAAAGATTCAAGCAAAATTTTCTTTAACCTTCTCTTTCAACTACTAATGTCTTTAATGTTGAATATATATATATATATATATATATATATATATATATATATATATATATATATATATATATATATAAAACAATGTCTCTAAAATTCAACAAATGCCCATACGGTGCATGAAACATTGTATCTATTTTTGTATTATTATTTTTTTACTGCTGAGTTATCAAGTCTCCTTCCACCAACTGCACTGAGGCACATGCAAGAAAAAACACAACCCATAATACACCACGTGAAGAAGAAATATGCTAATTATATAGCTTCCCATAATATATATTAACCCGACAGTTATCACGCTCAAAGGCATATAATGATATATGATGGTATCAATGTAGCCTGTCTAAGACATTTAATACAACACATTAGATTAACGTATTTTAGCAAGTCAGATACTGAGGAGTTACATAAGGCAGTCTGAAAACTAACAGACACCCGAAAGAGAACGCGATATCATACTTCCCCGCGTATTTTTTTCTGTTGCTTTATTTGCCCCACACATACCTGTAATTATATGAAGGAAATTGTTTGCTTTCTTTCAATAATATTTTGTACAGAGAAAGCACCTGACTCTTGCTGGAGATCGCCATCTTTCACAGAAGGACCCCGCTTCGACAGCAAGGACCTCAAAAAAGACGACTTTACAAAATGCCAGTATAAATATATACAGTTTCCCCTCTTCTTTTACTTATAAATTTTTGGAAGCATATATTTAATAAACGATTATGGTAGATGAATGAATAACAGATGGTGCAATTTGTATAGTGTACTTGAAATATCGGACACCTAGTTTACATTTCTAGGCATATGTATAGTCTTCAATAATGTGTACCTCCGGCAACTGAGGAGAAGGTAAGTAACTTGCTTAAACTTACCCAGTTGGTACCAGCTACATATTCTTACTGGGTTTTCTCGAATATTACAGTGAGAATTAATGTTTTCCTTCAAACTCCATAATTTGCTCGGTTGAAATGTACCTGCACGATTATGGCTCACGCAATATCGCTGTACATTTATATGTATCAAGTGTAGTGGCTACGTTTTTAGCAAGGTCATACAGCTTTGCATTTTAAAAACCTGCCTACATTTTTGGGACACCTTGCAGTTTAAACGTGGTTGCATGCAAATAAGTATGGCACTGAACCAAAAGACACCCGACTTTAACTAGGTGTTTTATCTTCGTACGTTGTTAAATGCAACGTGACAAACCACAAGCCGTACGTACTGTAGATATATTTCCTTAATACCCTTGCCCGTTTATGTTTATTGCACCTTTATAACTGTACATTAACTTATCAAAGTTTTACAGTAACGGCCCGCTGTGTAATGTAATGTAACCTTTGTCCGTAATATCATGGAGGTAGACCCCACTACCTTAGGCACCTGTACAGTGTTACTAACGTTTTATGTTTGGGAACCTCAACAAGTGACGGAGGGAATCGCTTCATCATAGGATGCAAGCAGTAACGTAGGAGAGAGTTTGAGATTGAGGGGACACTATATTTATTTTAAATGCAACAGTCTGTTTATGGGGGGTATGAATGAACCCAAATTAAACATTGGGCCACATGGGTATGGTATGCTCTCATTGGGCCCAAAGTCCCTAATGACACCCCTGCCTACACCCCTGGATGCAAGTGATTCTTAAGGTCTTTTCCCACAATCTAAGCTACACGCAATTTGCTCTGGTGTGCTACTTCCGTAACTGGGGGATGGTGGGAGTCATTCATGAATATCCTAGCCTGCTTGTTTGTGGTAGCGAACACATTTGTATATTACTGCTTTTGAGAAATTATTTTTGTGTTTTTTTGTTTGCATTTTGAATAATGCTGTCTTAATATTTTTGAAGATTTAAATATAAGCCCACCATTTGTGAGTAGTTTTTGATTTTTTTTTTGTTTGTTTTTTAGCTTCCCTTTGTCAGGGCTGTCAATGATTCTCATTTTCAAGCCGATAAATGTGGGTTCGCAACAACATGGTACTGCTGCACTATTTTCAGTCATTTCTGTCTTTGAATCCTACCTATACTCTGTGTGTGGAGTTTGCATGTCGCTCGTGTTCCCCCCCCAAATTTAAAGATTTGCGCTTTGGCTAATTGGTGTCTCTGCATTTCCAATAGTGTATGATTGTGTGGTATTGCGTTCAGTGTGTACCATTCCCTTGGGACCTATACCACCTGGGACAGGTTCCAGGGACCTCGTGGCCCTGTTGAGGGTAAGCGTGAGGAAGAAGGATGGATAACTATTAAACAAAGAAATGTGTCATTGTGCTATATCAGGTTACAGTGCTAAAAGCCCTTTAACGGTTTGACTGTAGAAACACCAGAAGCCCTGTCCAGGTGCACAGCTTTTATATACTTCAGAATTTGCTATTATTTTGGAATTATTTTGCTATTAATGGGAAAATGGAACTGAAACCTTAGTGCTTGTTTGCATCTATCTTGAGCTGGAATCCCGGGATTGAGGTCAAGCCTTCTGCACATAATAGTTAACTGCGCAAATACTAAATAAATTGTCACTGAATTAAAATAAATGATAGTTCATAAAAAAGCAGCTTGATATGTAATTGGTAATTGTCCATTAAAAATTATGCATTATCATATAGGCTCATATTATTGGTTATTACCATTGGCAGTATTAAGAATGCAATGACCCCAAATTTACACCATAGATTTGTTTTATACTTCGTGTGGACATGTGACAACTGTAACAGAATAAGACCAAGTTGTAATGGAGGACATATTATATATTATTAGGACAATGTGGGGTCAGTGGTATTTATATGTTTTTGTTATTACAGAATAAAGATTTTAATGACTGTGTAATTGCTTATTTACACCATAGAACAATGAATCTTTGTCTGACTATTTGTCAGATATTGAAGAACATTCTCAAATTGAAATGGGAGCCATGTTATGCCTTATTACAAGGATTTGAGTGAATACATTTGCTACCGTAATAACCTAGTATTTGTGCACTCTCAGACTGTGTGGATGGCTTGATCGTAGTTTCAAGACTCCTGCATGTCTCTGGCTTTGCGACACAAAACCAATAGTGGAGCCAGAAATCATAGCATGGACGGGCCGGCAGAATATCAGGTGGGCCGGTCCCATAATGATTCACTTGGCGACAAAAATCACACCACAGACGCAACTACATATTTTGTCGTCAATTTTTAAATGAGACGTGGCATTGCTAAGACCAAGTGAACAGTCGTTTCATTGCACTGTATCACACTTTCAGCGCTGAAAGTGTGAGCCCAAGACCTGCCGGCTCTGCCTGTACCACAGCGGGAGACCAAAACGTCTGCACAACTTAATTAATTTCAGAGCTCGAAATAGCAAATTGAGAGCACGAAAACAAGTAAATCATATGCATGTTTTAGGGATTTTGTGAACTTGATTTAGTATTTTGTGGGCACATTAAGCTAAATTGTGTGCATAATTTAGTATAGCGTGTGCACAAAAAGAAAGCTGTTTATTGCCCTGCAGGCTCTGTGCCTGCAGGCTTTTGGGGGCTGTCAGCAACATTGCACCTAGGACAGGTGCTATATCTCCAGCACTCTGACGGACCACACACCTGTGTTCACACCCAGAGCCTCCACATGGAGCACCTGTAACTGTCATCTTGGTCAAAAAACTTGTGCCTTCCGAAAGTTCTTCTCTTGTTTAATACTTACTTTGTGTACACAATATACCGTATATCAGTGCCCTTCAAACACGTATGGCAGTTTCACACAAAATTCCTGTAATGTTTATGGCATAACAAACTCATGAGTGAACAAATATGATCAAATCTTAACAGCCTTTGTGTGATTTTAATTGATCTGTAGTATATTTTTGATAAATTTCACTTTGATGTAGAGTATTTCACCTAAACATTGGCTTCATTTTCAAACAAACTTTACCGTCTTGCCAGCACTGGCTGGGAAAGAACATGCAACTGAATAAAGGTACAATACCAGTAGTTCCATCCATCCATCCATCTTCTAACAGTTTATTCTGGTCAGGGTCATGAGGGGCCAGGAGCCTCTCCCAGTCAGCACAGGCCACAGGGCTGCTGTTCACCCTGAACGAGGTGCCAGGCTAACACTGCTTTACTTTGTTTGCACATTCAGCTGGCAGTTAGGAACATGAAGCTGTACATCAGCTTCTTTCTTCTTGGATCACCTCTGCGTTCACCTGGAAGGGCTGCTCTGCTTCACTAGACGTGACCGCAGTCTACCTGCTGCCCCGACCGCTTCCTGTTCATGTTCCCTCTCCCGATTTCGTCGTTTCTACACAAATTATGCAACATCGAGGAACCACACACACACACACGGAGTTTCTCCTTCCATTTTAGGCCTCAAACCTGAGCTCAGTGGCATGCCATGTAAAAGTCCTTTGCACTACATTTACTGTTGGTGTCTAGTGCTGATGTGAAATGTTAGTATATTTGGCCTTCTGTCCTGAGTGTACGCCCGCATGTTTCCAGATGCTGCCTGAGATTGGCTCGAAGGCACGACTCTGTCCTGGATAAGCTCAAGACTGGTCAAGTCAACTTTGTCATTGTGCCGATGCACCACGAAATGATTTAGTAGGCTCAGAATCATTAGAATCATTCACACACACACACACACACACACACACACACACACAGAGTAGAGTTTGGTAAGCTCTTGAAAGATGGAGGGACGCTCATTCTATATTCTTACTAGGCGCCTTCATACCTTGCGGTGCTACATTTGCAGGATATTAAACCTGACTTGGCAGGCATCCAGTCCCCGGTCACTGCCTGATGCAGGCATCCAGTCCCCGGTCACTGCCTGATGCTGTGACAGTAAGCAGGTCCAGTCCTTCCACATTATCATCGACTCGGTTCCTGTGCTGCTCATGTTTGCACTTTCTGATATACGTGTCTATAAAATAAAGGGATAATATCCGGTGTTTATGAGTAACGCTCGGGGTGCCTGGTAGTTGTGTATCACAGCATGTTTTGCCAAGAGGTGAGAACATTTGTTGAGTCACTTTCAGCTCGTTTTAGCTCTTTACATGCTCATTTTTTGGGCCCCGGGGTGTTGCGGAAGAGTTGGGTTCACGTGTCTGTAAAAATGAATGTGAACGTACTAAAAAAACCAGTCAGGCAGCGACTGTCTGGTGCTTGCATGACAATTGCCGCATGGTGCGTGGTCACGCCTCCCTTGGGCCACTCATGCCACTAGATGCCGGCTGATGGACTCGTGGTACAACTGCGGTCGTCCGTCCAGACCTCGGCGGGAAGACGGCTTCCCATCTGGGCTCCGTGGGCAGTGCAGAGAGCAGGGCCCAGGTGGTGCCGATCGCTCCAACGGCATCCTAGTCACACTCCGTGTACCAAGCCACTGATTTGACGTGATTACCCACGATCCCTCAGCAAAACAGTAATCCGAAAGCAAATGTGGTCTATTAAGGTCTCAAACCCTCAGTCCTGTCCTTGTGATTTTAAAAGTCTGAAGAAACAGAAGGAAAAGAGCTGTGTGGGTGGCGGGAGTAATTTATTCTTCGGCGATGACTGTTATGAAGAGCAATTTGGCAGCGGGAGTGCTGATTAATTCTGCAATTGAGTTTGAGAGTGAAGATTTAGTGCATGACGAGGCATTATTGACAAAGGACAATATGAATA